CCAAAATATTAGGCAGACCCGTGGTAACAGCAACCCCTTAAAAGCCGGGGAGAGCCCGCTTTAATTCCCTTCGTCGCGACAGACCACCTGCGGGTCCTTTGGGGACCTCCGCTTCACGGCACACACCAAAGGAGAAGAGCATCGCTCTGCTATGCGGGGTGCTGGCAGGGCATCGTCCCAAACTGGACATCTCCCTGCCGCCCTGGTAGCAGCGCGTGCCGGGCCGTCCCTGCCTCGCTGCAAGGGACCAGCCAAGGGGCCAAAGCCTCAATGGGAAGAAACGAGGACAGTGGACCTCGGGAAGGACAGCAGGCAGAGCCAGGCACCCTACAACCACCAGCACGGCCCGAGACCAGCCAAAAGATTCCAAGCATTAGGAGACAATCCTTCATTTGGCCATCCCCCTCCCCAAACTCTCCGCAGCTTCTCTCACCATCTCCACGGGAGCAGGGCAGCAATGGAAGTCCCAGTAGAAGGGCAGTCCTGAGAGCTCGCTCTTCACGTGCAGGCTGAGGCCGCCGGCAGCACGGTGGCAGGAGAAGGTGGTGGTGGCATCCGGCTGCCCTGCCAGCAAGGGGCACATCAGGTTGCACAAGCGGTGCAGGAAGGAGGACACGTGGACTGTCAGCCGCTTGTTCAGCTCCTGGGGAAAGTCAAGGTCAGGGGTGCAGCAACACCCTGGGGAGCTTGGCACTGGGAAAAAAGCAGCAGAAACTCCAGCACAGAAGGAGTCAAACAACTTCTGCGTGTCCCAGCGCTGCAAAAAGCCATCCCTGGGCCTCGGCTTCCAGCCCCACAACAGGACACTCCTCACCGGTTCTCCCAGACCAGCTGAGCTGGGAAGGGTCCCCTGCCCCACCAGCCCAAGAGAGTCCGGGCGGTGGGCAGGGTGCAATGGTCTCCACTAGCGCATCTGCCCCACATGCCAGGAGCTCGCAGCTCAGCTCACCTGCCTGAGCTGGGGGATGGCTGCCACCGCATTGCCCACCCCTCCTGCCACCACCACTGTGACAGAGGGACATGGCAGATGGGGCCCTTGCCACACGGGCTAGGATAAGGGGATGAGATATGGCCCCATGTGGTTTGGGGGCTGTACTGTGAGGACACCCCATGGGAGCCTGTGCCTGGCTATGAACATCAACAGGAGTTTCTTTGTCACTGGTGGGAGGCCAGCCTTGTTTCAAGGACCTGTTGGAGGGGATCCAGAGGAGGCCACAAAAATGATCAGAGGGATGGAGCACCTCTCCTGTGAGGACAGGCTCAGAGAGTTGGGTTTGTTCAGCCTGGAGAAGAGAAGGCTCCAGGAGACGTTACTGCAGCCTTCCAGTACTTAAAGGGTGCTGATAAGAAAGATGGGGACAGGCTTTTTAGCAGGGCCTGTAGTGATAGGACAAGGGGTAATGGTTTTAAAGTAAAAGAGGGCAGATTTACACTAGATATATGGCAGAAATTTTTCACAATGAGGGTGGTGAAACTCTGGCACAGGTTGCCCAGAGAGGTGGTAGATACCCCATCCCTGGGAGCATTCCAGGTCAGGTTGGACGGGGCTCTGAGCAATCTAGTGGAAGATGTCCCTGCTTGTTGCAGGGGGATTGGACTAGATGACCCTTAAAGGTCCCTTCCAACCCAAAGATTCTGTGATTCTAAGCTCCTCAGCACACTGGTCCTGGGGAATCCAGCCCACAGGTGAAACGAGTGTGACAGCCTCAGCACACAGCCCCAGTGAACACCTGGCTGCCCTGGGCATGCTAAATAGCCTGGCCCACTCTCCCAGGTTGGTGCTCGGCCAACCGAGGTGACAGTGCTTGGGGATTTCACAGACCAGGTGTTTGCACCCAAGCCCTGTCAGATCCAACAGCCATTGTGTCACCTAGCAGTTTATGCCGGGACACCAGCTGCTGCAAGGAGAAAAGGAGGTCCCTAGACTTTTCAGACACTCACCTTGGACCTTTGTCCCACGGCCTCAGCGTCTGCATTCTCGTACCAGACGCTGCTGAGGTCAGAGATCAGCAGGATGTAGCCAGTATCCCTGAAGCACACTTTGGCAAGAAAAGTGGACTCGCCAAAGCAAACAGAAGCCCAGGGCTGTGTCAGGAGGCTGCTCTCCAGCTCCTCGGAGCCCTCCATCTGCAAGAGAGCAACCATGTGTTTGCCTCACGTCCCCATCCAGGAAGACCCAGGTCCCTGGGGCAGCCTCACAGGGACCCTCAGTCCCTGCTGGCCCCTCCACGATGCCAGCCCCACCTCACAGCCCGGAGGTGAGGGTGCTCAACCAGGTCTGGTCACACACATCCCTGCATATGCATGCAGCTCTGCCAGGGTGGGCATTTTGGGGAGCTCCGTGCAGGGCAGTTCCTACCCCCGCTGACAATAAGCACTGCAAATGCACCAGCAGACGCTTGGCAACGTAATTAACTGCCGCCCCCCCGGCGTTACCCGGTGCTTGCTGCCATCAACACGGTGAGACTTCTATGTGCAAATTAACATTTAAGCTGCCCAGCTCGCACTGGGATGGGCAGCAGGATGCTGCAGCCCTCCTCCTGCTTGGAGATCCCGTCCCTGTGCTCTGAGCCAGCCACGCGCCGGCCCCATCCACCATTGCCGCTCCCCCCTCCTCCCTGCGACAGGCTCCGTGCCTGCCAAAACACCCGGGGACCCAGTATCCCTGGGGTGCCTTCAGGACTGGGGCTCTGCGGAGCCACGGAGTTACCCGAGGGCAAGAGGTGCAGGCGGGCCAAAGGCTGTCGGGGCGAGGGGCTTTGCAGAGGCGAGCGGTGCCGTGCCGGAGGCGAGGGCCAGACTACGGCTCCCAGCATCCTGCTCTCTTCCGCGGCATGCGAGGGGCCGGGGCACGCCGG